ACACACACACACACACACACACACACACACACACACACACACACACACTCGTCCCTATAGTTTGGCTGAAGGAGACACTTGTGAGTATCGGTGGGTGTCCAAACATGTACTTTGCCCTTCAGACGGTAGACTTGTAGTTGCCTTCTGACGTTAACAAGGAAAATACTACACTTGATTGTCAGTTTGAGGGCAAAGCCACATTTCAGTGGACGGCAGAGCTAAAGAAAAGAAGGGAATAAATAGTAAGCAATACTAAAGACCAGAAAAACCGTACACAGCAAATTTTTCAATGATGGGTTCTGCTTCCCATTAAAGCAAAGAGAGTAGAGCTCAGCCACGGCCCTAAAGAGAGCAGAGTGGACACTGAGGCAGCCAGCCCGACCACAGGAGGGGGGGGGGAATTACAACATACTGCAAATACTACGTATAGTATATGTTGACATGCAGGAACAAGAGACCAATTAGCAGTGTGTGGTAGACCAAGACTCGGTGGATTGTTTAGTTTTGTTTTATTGTGCACATTGTTCTGTAGGCCAGTCCAGAGTGTAGAGACTGCAGCGGTTTTCAGTATTTCCTGTATTATAAGAAAGCCAAGTAGTTTTCTGACTGCACTTCATTAGCAAACTGCTTTTTTGCACAATCCTTTATTTGAACAATTAACAAAATAGAATGCTTGGAGGCTTAAAATTAAAAGACTGTATAGATTTTTTTTTTTTTCAGGCCAATATCCCAACAATTCCCAGCAGACAATAGTGTTAGGAGCACATACTGAAGAGAGAGACATCATTGAAGCATTTCACCAGCACATTTCCTGACCAGATGAGAGACTGAGATAAAACTGTACAACAGAAAGCTCAAGGTGTCCGTTCAAAGTCCCAAACATTCATCAAAAAAGGGGAAAGGAAATATGCAAATCAACAATGTCACAATTTGTGCAGATATGACTACAAAGCCAGCAGCACAACTGAAATATTAACATTAGAAGATGCATTGACCGTCTGAACGACATGCCTCCGTTTCCTGTGTGGAATGAGTCACGGACATGGCAACAAGACCTCGGATGGAGAAGGTAAAATAAAGTTTCAATACATATTGAAGGAGAGGCAGTGGGGCCTATGTATAGTAATGTTGTCCTTTGGTTTACTTGGGGAAGGTTTCTGACATTGAAACCAACAAGAAAAAGTTAATTGAGCCTCTGCACCACATAATGTTAGTCTATCACAGTCTAGAAAATAACTTAATGTGAAATTAAGTAAATTTCATATTGAAAGACTGAACCTAATCAGTCTTCGTTCTTACAATCAAGTACTGTAAGAGCCTTTTAAATGAAGTTAAATACTTGCCTTGCTTTAAAAATAGAGGATTCACATTTTGCACCATCTCTTCAATCTGAGGCAGCAAAATGTGAGACATCCACCTCCTTACTAGTGTAGCTAGTATTACTAGCTACCTGTGAGGGAAAAACACAGACTTCTGTGGATAGAAGTCAAAGTACACTAGCCTAATTCATTTAGAAATACTTGAGCCGATTATATTTTGAGAAGTGTTAATACTGAGATACTGACACTGGTGGTTGGAATGAAATGGGTCTTGAAAAGGAAAAAAAAAAAATAAAATCAATTGTGAAAAGAAAAAGACAAAAAAATGGAAATAAATATCAAGCAAAGAACTAGTTCAATTTTATTCATTGTTGTGCTTTAGCCTGTGTAATTTCTTTTCAAACACCAATTCAAATGCAAGCATATTTTTCTGAAAGGAGCGAGAGCATGGGGACATCCAATAAATGATGAATGACGAAAAACTAACATCTTTTAGTAACTCAAACAAAAATCATCACAATCAATGAATGATCCCCAAAAAAAAAAAAAAAAAAAAAAAAAAAAAAAAAAAAAAAAAAAAAAATAAAAAAAAAAAAAAAAAAAAAAAAAAAAAAAAAAAAAAAAAAAAAAAATCTATATCTTCAACAAAAGCAAACACCATTACCTTTTGTGCACACATCTGGGGGTTTTATGCAGAGCTTAGCACAGATGTAGTCCCACTTCCCCTCAACACTCCGTTTCCCTCGACTAGGAGGAAAGGCTGAGCCACAAAAGAGTAAATACAGAGGTGTCAGGTACATTCCCCTAGCTCTTCACAGACATTAGACTTGCTGTTGGTGCCTGATGAGGGGTAGACTTGTACACCGAGTGGAAAAACATCACACATTGAACCTAAGGCAGCCCCCGCTTTCTGCTGAGATTGGGGGTAAGAGGGGTGGTGTGGCTCAAAACTACACTGATAAGCCACCTATACACAGGTGGAACCTTTAGACAACAAAAGACAAAGAAAATGGATAGAGAAGGAAATGTACAAAGTAAACAAGGGCAGGTTTTGCAATGGACTGTCTTGATTGGTTGCCAACTCTCCGGTGCAATAACCGAGTCTAAAAACTAGCGGAGTCCTTTAGAACACAAACAAGTTCTCAGTCAGATTTTTTTTTTTTTTTTTTTTTTTTTAATACATTTTAATCTAAATATTTGCAAAATATTCATTTGCCTGTCATATTGTAATCATCAATCAGTTTATACTCTGTGCACAGAAGCTTATTTGTTATTAAATTCTAAAGCGCATTAATATTTCTTTAGAGTCTTTCTAAATCTAAACCCACATACCATGACGAGGGTCTCTTAAACAAGGAAGCTGTTCAGTTCTCAATGTACCACCGATCGGTTTTCTGTGGTTGATGGCTCAAGTTGTACCTAGATTTAAAAGCATCGTAAAAGTGAGGAGATGGATGAGGAGGAGTTTGTGTTGGTGGCAAAGAAGACAATCTGGCCTTGGGAGGAGAGACTCGTGATAATGCTGGTGCTGGGCCTTTTCAATGCACTCGGGCAAATTCAAATAGGCTTTTAAAATTCTGCAAATTCATTAGGCAAACTGTCCTTCACTAAAAGGCAAAACACTGATATTTTTTAGGTCATTTCCTTAAAAAAGGGAATTCAAACAAGAGAAATTACCCCGCGGTCCACTTGCAGCCTGTGGTAGATAGTTCTTCCTGTGTGCGAGTCCACGGTTTGCTATCTGAGCCGAGCGGTGGGCTCAGGCAGAGGTGCATCTCGGGTCCTAACCTGTAACCCCAACCCCACCTCTGTCTATTCAACAGTCCATTCCTCGCTGCTTTAAAAGTAAAAACACAAAAGGACAAAACAAAAAGTAGCAGTGGTGCACAGAGAAGAGAGCGCAGTCACAGGGAAATCTTTGTGAATGCAGCTTGTTTCTCTTCCTCCAAAAAAAAAAAAAAAAAAGAGAGACATGGGGAAAAAGGTGTTGGAAAAGCTGGTTCTCAGGAAAGCGGGGACAGGAGGGAAGAAGAGGAAAATCTTGCAAGAGAACAAGTTGGGCAGTGTTCCTGTTCATTAGTTTTGTGTGTGTTCTTGTCATGTGTCCATGTACTGTCCGGTCAACGAGTGCATTTAGAGCATGTATGTTTTGTGTGCGTTTGTGGATATATTTGGGTATTCTCGTGTGTGTGTGTGTGTGTGTGTCGGGCTGTGTGGGAGTGCGCATCTACAGCAGGTCGACGCGGCGGTAGTACAGCAGGTAGGCGGTGCGCTCTGCGGTCTGCTTCATCACCTGGTACTGGTTAATGACCTTCACTGTCTGGTCGTCAATGCGCAGCCAGCCGTTAAGACCGATGTGGAAGACATCCGTGGTGTAATGGCCGCCTGTCGCACTGTTCCCATGGTGATAGACAACTGGTTAAGAGAAAGACATGAGAGAAAAGTGGGACATTTTATTTAAGCATAATTACTCATCCACTACTTCAAGGTCGGGCACTGCAGCTGCATACCATGAGCCGTTTATCCCTGAATGTGTGATGCAGCTTAAGTAACGTATACTATCGCTTTCTACACGTTCTTTTAATGATTCTATGAACACAAAGTTCGGGGGGATTTAATAACCAGTGTTCTATGACTAGTAAGAGGCATGCTACATGTCTCTTCATACATGAAAACAAGTGCTAGCCGGGGTTTCGCTCATTTACTTGTAATGCTTTCACTTTCTCATTAAGTTTTCAAAAGCTCACTGATCTAAATCTTGGACCTAAAAGAAGGGAAATAACTCAGTTGATGATTACTTAGACATGGCTTTTACTCCAGCTGGATGAACCACTTCTTGGAAAACTTAGCAGAACTAAGACTTATCCCAAAAACGTGTTTCCTGATGTCAAATGAAAGGACTGTCAAACGGATGTATTCAGGTTCAAGACAGAAAGGGACAACCCTTTAAATGGGGCTGCTCACCTTCAGGTTCATACTTTTTGAGGCATTTTTGCTATACGTTTACATGACTTAATGTAAACAAAAACTTAATTTTTCTCATACCGTTTACATGGCCACTAGACCTGCTATATAAGAAAAATATACATTAAATCTGACTTTCTTCAATAGAGGACCTATAAGTCTCCTTGGTAGCATCGTTATTTTGGGCCACATCATGGTGGACTGACAATATGTTACAAACACAAAATGTGACAACATGCCTTGCAGCAGAAATAACAATGTGACTTAAAGAACTCAAACACACCTGCAAAGAGCCTGTAAGTTCTTTGGCCTTTCACAACTTTGCTCCGCACTCCAGAGGACAAGAGATCTGAAAACAGAAAGAAAAAAGCTGTCAGCAACATCCACTTATCAGACCTGGAAGTTGTAAAACCTTGCTTAAATTATTATTGATTACAGAATTTGTTGCACCATGTTCTGCTGCTGGGCAAGTGCAAAGTACAATGTCATAATATAATAATAATAATAATTTCATTTAAAATCAATTTAGTGCAAAACGGTTAAAATAAAACCTTATCTGGTTTACGAACTTCACTTCAACACTGTTCTGGATTCATTGTGAACCCGATCCCTCCAAGAACGTAAACAGCCAAGATAGTCTTTAGCATCTTGATTCAATGAGTGCGTAATGTCGACTCATTTTCATGAGTCATTCCCACGAGATGCATAATCCCCTTGAGAAAAGACACACTGTCTTTTTGAATATCAAGTTCTCTGGGGAGACAGAGTGTAAATCGTAACATCTGTGGTTCATTTGGCCGACTCATCGAGGTTCGAGTTCTTATGACTGGAAATTCAGTCTTGTATACACGTGTCTTAAATGCAATAGTGCTCTCATGATTAGGAGACTACTTAACATAAAAATAAAAAAGAAAGGTAGCTTTCGTCAACATTATCGTCTGCTGCAAGCAAACGTATGTACACAATCAGGATGACTATGCTAATGAGGATACAGTATAGCGATCCACAGGTTGCACGTCTTTGGTCAGTGCAGGTAAATTGGATCATCAACTTCTATATAAAAACACTGAGCACTGTTCATGAACTTTGTGTTGAACAGTGTAACGTGTGCACAGGTCATGTTAAATGGTGTGCTCAGAGGAGTATCGGTCCATACCTTTGCTGATTTCCAGGTCAACGGGGTAATCAATGTTCTTGGTCAGTTTCTGGCAGCCTCCCGTCTTTTCAAAGACGAATCTCTTGAGATGGAGCACCAGTACAGGGGGCAGCTCTTCCAGAGTCACTCTCCGACTGATCTCGATCTAAAAACAGAAAGAAGAGAAAGTCAGAGAAGGTCATTTAAAAAGTTAAATCTTCAAAAAGTCACAAGTGTTTTTCTTAGTATAGACATAAGAGAACGAATCGGTACAAGTACAGAACAAAAGGTAACACTCTGATGGAAACAGCTTGCTAGGCCCTTCAAAGTAGTGACTCATGAATCATTTTGTTTTGGAGCTTTTAAAAGTACAATAGACAAGAGCTGGGCTGGAGAACAAAGTTCACTGTCTCCGAACAGACAACGACAGAACAATAGGTTTATCTGCTACAGAAACACAAAGATCATCACACCGCGGTCGAGCAGATACTCCCTGCACCAGATGTTCCAACATAATGTTCACTCACTGAACAAAGTTTTCTTCAATAGCTGTTAAGTCTTGTATATTCTGATCCAAGGAAATAATTTAACATTTGTGAAAGAAGTTCACAATTTCAATTTAGATTTCTGCTTTTTACCATGTGTAGCCAACAATACTCTTCATCTATATGTGAAACCATCCGTGCACATGCCAAGAGCAGGAACATTTCTATGGCAGGAAATCAAATCAGAAATAAAACTATACTATACATTTCTGCACACAAAAATATAATAACTCAAATACACAAAATAATATAAAATACTAGTATGTAAAAACAGGGAGCATTTTATAAATTTATTAACATCCAATACTAATGAAGTTAAACGTAGCCTGAAACTCGTACCTCCTGCTTGGTTTTAGAGGTGTAGCCCTGGACCGACTCTCGTGCCACCAAGGTCTCTAAAGCATCCTGGACCGTGCGGATCTTCTCCGACTGGATGTCCAGCTGCAGGGTAAAGAAAGGCTGCAGAGTGGCCGACTCTTTAGAGTTTTGTTGATACACCACCGATCTGACGGGAAAAAACAAGAGACTGTATTAAATACACAAATAAATCACTTATTTCCATAACTTGCATTGCTCAATGTGAACAAGTTTTTGCTACAAATGTTGAATTTTACAACCATTCATTTTTGAAGTAAAACTACAAAACTAATTAATAAAATGTCATCTGTAGCTCCTGAAATGACCGGACATTTATCAATTATTCCAAGCATAACCTTTTGCAACATCTGACCCAGAATATTTGAAATCTAAATCTAATATCCTGTCTGCAAAAAACACGACTAACAATGATTCAGAAACCAAATACAAGGGTTATAATGACCAAGCTCAGTAGGCGTACACACCACACTCTGTAAACACACACCCCTGTACTCCAGGTTTCTCTGGTTGAAACCATTTCTGAGAAAACCAGTGTAGACCAGGACTATGCCAGACCAGAACCTCATAGAACATATTATTTAGGCGGGCTACACACGCACGGGTTCTTTCCAGTTTGTCTGAAAGTTAAGACCTTTGTTTGTGAATGTGTGCCCCACGTCTCGACTTCTGACCACACTGGCTGTTATTCTGAAGGACTGCGGTGCCGGCGAGACAAAAGCTGGAGCTGGGTGGTGGCAGACCGATTAGTGCCGCCACCGTGAACAGGTCAAAAACGTTTCGTCAGAAGCTGCGTAACAAGCACAGGGTGCACAGTTGAAGATGACATTTATTTCCCGAGGTTTGTGTATTAACTTGGAACTTATTTTGTTAGAGCAGACTTTTCAGTCATTAACATTGTGATATAGACTTTGCCATTCAGTAACTAGGACTATAGTCCCTGTTTACTTTCTGTCATCTACTGCATTAACAAACACTGCAACAGCAAAAAAATACAAAGAAGCCCATTTAAATGTTTATGTTGTCACATTTGAAAAGGTGTGTAGCAATACAGTGGGTACGGAAAGTATTCAGACCACTTTAAATTTTTCACTCTTTGTTTCATTGCAGCTATTTGCTGAAATTAAAAAAGTTCATTTTATTTCTCATTAATGTACACTCAGCACCCCATCTTGACAGAAAAAAACAGAAATGTAGAAATTTTTGCAAATTTATTAAAAAAGAAAAACTGAAATATCACATGGTCATAAGTATTCAGACCCTTTGCTGTGACACTCATTTAACTCACATGCTGTCCATTTCTTCTGATCCTCCTTGAGATGGTTCTACTCCTTCATTGGAGTCCAGCTGTGTTTAATTAAACTGATTGGACTTGATTAGGAAAGGCACACACCTGTCTATATAAGACCTTACAGCTCACAGTGCATGTCAGAGCAAATGAGAATCATGAGGTTGAAGGAACTGCCCAAGGAGCTCAGAGACAGAATTGTGGCAAGGCACAGATCTGGCCAAGGTTACAAAAGAACTTCTGCAGCACTCAAGGTTCCTAAGAGCACAGTGGCCTCCATAATCCTTAAATGGAAGAAGTTTGGGACGACCAGAACTCTTCCTAGACCTGGCCGTCCAGCCAAACCGAGCAATCGTGGAAGAAGAGCCTTGGTGAGAGAGGTAAAGAAGAACCCAAAGATCACTGTGGCTGAGCTCCAGAGATGCAGTAGGGAGATGGGAGAAAGTTCCACAAAGTCAACTATCACTGCAGCCCTCCACCAGTCGGGGCTTTATGGCAGAGTGGCCCGACGGAAGCCTCTCCTCAGTGCAAGACATATGAAAGCCCGCATAGAGTTTGCCAAAAAACACATGAAGGACTCCCAGACTATGAGAAATAAGATTCTCTGGTCTGATGAGACCAAGATTGAACTTTTTGGTGTTAATTCTAAGCGGTATGTGTGGAGAAAACCAGGCACTGCTCATCACCTGCCCAATACAATCCCAACAGTGAAACATGGTGGTGGCAGCATCATGCTATGGCGGTGTTTTGCAGGGACAGGACAACTGGTTGCAATTGAAGGAGAGATGAATGCGGCCAAGTACAGAGATATCCTGGAAGAAAGTGCTTTGGACCTCAGACTGGGCCGAAGGTTCACCTTCCAACAAGACAATGACCCTAAGCACACAGCTAAAATAACAAAGGAGTGGCTTCGGAACAACTCTGTGACCATTCTTGACTGGCCCAGCCAGAGCCCTGACCTAAACCCAATTGAGCATCTCTGGAGAGACCTGAAAATGGCTGTCCACCAACGTTCACCATCCAACCTGACGGAACTGGAGAGGATCTGCAAGGAAGAATGGCAGAGGATCCCCAAATCCAGGTGTGAAAAACTTGTTGCATCATTCCCAAGAAGACTCATGGCTGTACTAGCTCAAAAGGGTGCTTCTACTCAATACTGAGCAAAGGGTCTGAATACTTATGACCATGTGATATTTCAGTTTCTTTTTTAATAAATTTGCAAAAATTTCTACATTTCTGTTTTTTTCTGTCAAGATGGGGTGCCGAGTGTACATTAATGAGAAATAAAATGAACTTTTTTGATTATAAATGTCAGTGTCTTGCCATAAAACACACTGCTTTTGTAGTAAACAAACAATGTGTTACATCTTCCCCCTCCACTGAAATTAGATCTTCATGTCTCGGCCCGGCAGTAAATTGTGCAAGGTCTTTCAGACACGAGTGGCTCCGTTAGTTTATAAACAAACAAATTGTGTTAGTCATGTTGTCATATTGCTTACTACTGTGAGAAAATGGGTGAAGAGCTCCAGATGAAAAGAGGGAGAGAGTTAATGGAGAATTTATGAAGTGTTCGGCTGATGTTCAACTGGATGCTCCGAGTGCTTTTATTCTTTTCTTATAAAACTCAAGTAGGGGAACCTATGAAGAGCCAGTTACATTACTAGTGCTAGACAAGTGGATTCAGCACCATGTCAGCACAGGATGTACGCTACTTCCTAATTTGCCAGAACTTCTCATCTTGGCTGGTTTAGCCGGGTTGCATAAAATTTAAAACTGTTATTGAACATATCCTGAGGTAACTTGGTTTTAGAGCAAAAAAGAAAGAAGCAAGTATTTGCAACAGGGTCGACCCACAAAGCCTTTAACTGCTTCTTATAAGGGAAAGGTACAGCATACGGATACTAGCGACTGTACTGGGAAAAAACAACTTGAATGCAGAACCGTGGAGCGCTTTGTGAACTTAAGAGAGCAAAATGTAAACAGACCTCTAGTTCACCAGCCATCAGAATGTCTTCTTTTACACAGGGCTCATTATTTCCACTTCACATGAAAATGTCTTTCTGAAACACATCTTCACGGCGATCTGTCAACGTACCTGATGTGCCCACCAAATATGTCAGTGATGGGTGTGCGGATAAAGTCAGCTTGGCGAGTGATGGAAGTCTTATTTCTGGGGCCAACTTGCTCCCATTCATCCTCACTACCTTCTTCCTCCTTATCGGCAACATCTTCCTCCACACCTGGCTGAGACTCTGGCCCATTGGGTGTGGGAGCTTCTGGTAAAACACATGAACGGAAATACACTTTAGACGTCAAACAAGCAAAGACCACTTAGTAAAATTAACTCCTCCGCACAAGTTGCAGGAAATTCAATAGAAGCTCAAACTGATATGACGACTAGATGAAAATAGGAGCTTCATTTCAGGTCACACCTGTTCAGCTGCATCTTTATAATTCCAATAAATACATTGGTGTTCATACTACCGAGCTGGTTGGGATATTGTTATTTTTTATTTCATTGAAAAACCAACAAGTAGCACACAAAACTTCACAAACTTAATAGATGTTTGATCTACTTTGTTAGTTTGATTCATGCATAAAGTAATGCAATTCATCGTTAACTAAGACAGGAAAGAGCAATGATGTGCAAAATTGAATTCAATTAAACTAAATCTGTAATAATCCTATTTTGCTGGAGATAGGGTTGTGATATGGAAGTGGTAAGAGATGCTTACTCTCTTCCTGAGGCGAGATTAGTTTTTTCAAAGCCAGCATTTCCTCGTGCAGTCCGTTTAGAGTGAAGCCAAGATACTCCTCCGCATCCTCTTGTCGACCCTACGAGTGGAGCACCAGCAAATCGGCACCAATTAAAACACTCTCCCAAGAATGTTTACTGTCAAATAAGACACTGGCGTGCACGCTGAATGTGCAAACACAGACATTCATTGAGGTCAACAGACAGTTAAGCATGTTTTACAAGTTAGACAGGATGAGTGTAAGCCTCATTAAATATCAAAAGATAAGCATCTCATTCAGAGTGTTTATGTAGTTTCATTCATTAAAAACGGAATCAGAATTGACTCAGCATGTTTAACGCATGAACTGCCTTTATTTATGAACTGAAAACGTATATAAAGAAAACAAAACAAGGACATTCCCTTCGAGCACCGATTGTTCCAGAGGAAGCTTATTCAGAGAATGTGATCATTAAACAAACAGCGCGACGCATTACTTTGCAGTAAATATGCATTGGATCCAGAGGCAGCCATGTTTACCTTCTCAGAAAGACTCGACTTGATGAGAGTGAGGAGTCTGTAAATGTAGGTCGGTTCAAAAGGAACACCAGGTCTAATGTCTTTCATGGCCTTATCACCAACAGCTGCAGACACAATAACAAAATCATGCAACTCCAATGAAGCAGACAGGAAACGATACCAAATGTCTTTGAAATTGTGATATCACGTCTTACCTTGCTGTTTGGCTTTTGATGGCACAGGCATGTTGTTGAACTCATTCACCAGCCGAACACTGACGGACACAAAGAAACGACGGTGAGGTCTCCGAGCAAAACAAAGGTTTGCAATTTGATATTTGATATAGCTTGCAGAAATGCTACTCACAAGTTGTCCATCATGGGTGTGGAGGTACACGGTCTCTGCGTTTCATTATGCAGAGGAATGGACTTCAACATGTGATACATGGGAGGGCAGGCGATCAGGGCCTGTAGGGTCTGAGTAGTCAGAGTCAGGGTGGAAAACAGCATGTAGGAGAAGTTACAAAAGGCTGCTGTGATATTTATAGCTTTACACCAATGGATGGATAAGATAGAATGTAATGAAACCACAGGCATTTTGTAGTTGGCAAATTTTGTATAGCAATTAACATGATTTGAGCTTTCCTTAAATTAAAACTCTTTTTACAGCCTTCGGAGGAAATTTCCACGCAGAACTGAAACGCACTCAGCAAGCGTCAGCCAAACACAAGGTACATTTCACGATGGCACATTATTTTAACCAGCTGGCCAAGGAGGTGCCACCATTTTTCATTGGTGCCATTTGGCTGAACACCAATATAAGAGCTAGTTATATTAACAGCCACACATATACACGTGTAACCACAGTGTTAAGGGGTTAAAAAAAACAAAAGTAGCAGGTGCAGCAGAAAGCAGAGTGAAAGGATACAGCGTTGATATAGCACCAGTTTCCCTTGTTGATCAGTCCTCTCGGCTGCAAAGACACTGGTTTATGTATCAACTTCACATTCTCAATAAGTTCTGGGGATTCAAACAGACACAATGTTCTTAAACAGGTAGCCCCATACAACGCCAACAAACCATGAAAATCAACATTATTTTCAATGTCATCAACAGTGATCAAGTGGTTAATGTTATAGCAGATCATCAGTAGTACAGTAGTGCATTTTCACATAACGAATGTTTCTTCTTCTATTCCTGCCTCTTGTGACGACAGCACAAGCGACTGTCTGAATAAAAGAAAGAAGTTGCTGTACCACGCCTAGGAAGGGAGGCCGTCATTTAGTTACACAGCTCCCATGGTAACGTGGACATAGTTTAACACAACTGATACATAAATACATCTAATGACATATACATTTATGACAATGATCATTAGTATGTTCAAACTTGTGCATCCTTTACACCATTTCTTTAGAAAATGTATGTAGCCTAATGCTCAACGCTCTAGCAGACTTAACACATTTAAAGAAAAACAGCTTAAAAGCACAGTATTCAAAACAGTTTCCATCTGTCCATCTATAGTCTCTCTACGTTGAACCATTCTCCCACAGAAAACACGAGTCTAAAGGGTCAGTGTCACCCAGTGCTTCTGTTAAATATATGCAACTCCAGCCGTCTTTAAATAATTTACTAAATACTGTCAAGATATGAAAATCAGTTTCTGCAGATAAAAAAAGAGCCATAAGGGTTTCTGGTTCATAAGCATGCATACATAAAATGTACATCTCAAAAGGGAACAGTTACAGTAAAAACAATACTTTGTATATTAAATTACACCCAATAAGGGCTGGCCACCTTAGAAGAACGTATGCACTTTTAACTTGAGTAGAAAGAGTTCAAAGTGGAGTTTGGGTAGACGGGACAGAAATGAGGTCTCTGGTAAATGTTCATACCCTTCTGAGAGAACTGTACAGCAATCCACAAACATGTAAATACATGCAGCATAATCAGGTTTATCTAAACAGACAAATCTCAAATATTGCAGTGCTTTTAAAAAAAACAAAGCTCCATTGAAAGGGATGAAAAAAAAATAGTTTAGAATGAAGAGGAACAGCAAAATACTTAGAAACACTTCAATAAATGAAGCTCAAAGCGATCTCAAATCACACTAAACTGTGCTTGTTCTTATGTTCACTCCACCTGATCTTTCTGCACATTATAACCCAAACCACAATTGTTCGGCCTCAGTATATTTTCTAATTTCTAAGAAATCCTTTTCTACTCTTTTGGCTGAAATTATGCTTTTTCACTTGAACTAATGTTGAAGCTGCAGACTTACTCTTTCTCTGAACAGCATGTGTGCCAGTTTGTGTTGCGTTTGTGTCGGGCTATTGTGTTCCTGAGATGCAGAAACAGAGAATGATGTCTCACTCTGTCCGACTTAAACATCTGAATGGCCAAATTACACACTGCTCAAAAAAATAAAGGGAACACTTAAGCAACACATCCTAGATCTGAATGAATGAAATAGTCTTATTAAATACTTTGTTCTTTACATAGTTGAATGTGCTGACAACAAAATCACACAAAAATTATCAATGAATATGAAATGTATTAACCCATGGAGGTCTGGATTTGGAGTCACACTCAAAATTGAAGTGGAAAAACACACTACAGGCTGATCCAACTTTGATGTAATGTCCTTAAAACAAGTCCAAATGAGGCTCAGTAGTGTGTGTGGCCTCCACGTGCCTGTATGACCTCCCTACAACGCCTGGGCATGCTCCTGATGAGGTGGGGGATGGTCTCCTGAGGGATCTCCTCCCAGACCTGGACTAAAGCATCCGCCAACTCCTGGACAGTCTGTGGTGCAACGTGGCGTTGGTGGATGGAGCGAGACATGATGTCCCAGATGTGCTCAATTGGATTCAGGTCTGGGGAACGGGCGGGCCAGTCCATAGCATCAATGCCTTCGTCTTGCAGGAACTGCTGACACTCCAGCCACATGAGGTCTAGCATTGTCTTGCATTAGGAGGAACCCAGGGCCAACCGCACCGGCATATGGTCTCACAAGGGGTCTGAGGATCTCATCTCGGTACCTAATGGCAGTCAGGCTACCTCTGGCGAGCACATGGAGGGCTGTGCGGCCCTCCAAAGAAATGCCACCCCACACCATTACTGACCCACCGCCAAACCGGTCATGCTGGAGGATGTTGCAGGCAGCAGAACGTTCTCCACGACGTATCCAGACTGTCACGTCTGTCACATGTGCTCAGTGGAACCTGCTTTCATCTGTGAAGAGCACAGGGCGCCAGTGGCGAAGTTGCCAATCTTGGTGTTCTCTGGCAAATGCCAAACGTCCTGCCCGGTGTTGGGCTGTAAGCACAACCCCCACCTGTGGACGTCGGGCCCTCATACCACCCTCATGGAGTCTGTTTCTGACCGTTTGAGCAGACACATGCACATTTGTGGCCTGCTGAAGGTCATTTTGCAGGGCTCTGGCAGTGCTCCTGCTGTTCCTCCTTGCACAAAGGTGGAGGTAGCGGTCCTGCTGCTGGGTTGTTGCCCTCCTACGGCCTCCTCCACGCCTCCTGATGTACTGGCCTGTCTGCTGGTAGCGCCTACATGCTCTGGACACTACGCTGACAGACACCGCAAACCTTCTTGCCACAGCTCGCATTGATGTGCCATCCTGGATGAGCTGCACTACCTGAGCCACTTGTGTGGGTTGTAGACTCCGTCTCATGCTACCACTAGAGTGAAAGCACCGCCAGCATTCAAAAGTGACCAAAACTTCAGCCAGAAAGCATAGGAACTGAGAAGTGGTCTGTGGTCACCACCTGCAGAACCACTCCTTTATTGGGGGTGTCTGTCTTGCTAATTGCCTATAATTTCCACCCGTTGTCTATTCCATTTGCACAATAGCATGTGAAATTGATTGTCAGTGTTGCTTCCTAAGTGGGCAGTTTGATTTCACAGAAGTGTGATTGACTTGGAGTTACATTGTGTTGTTTAAGTGTTCCCTTTATTTTTTTGAGTAGTGTATTTAAACTGCAGCTAAACAGAAAAGTTTGGCTATTCATGAGTGCAAATTGACCCACATATCATTGGTATCTAAACTGTATAATGGTCCAACAACCACTTGAAAACTCACTGTATGTCCCTCTTTAAACATGACACTTAAGTTGTCTAAAGTCGTTCCCTTTGTCTAAAGGAAGGTGCCTCTACAAGAGAATACAATTCTTAGAAGATCTGAAAATCTACATGTAAAATAGCTTTGTGTGGAGAACACTCCTGTGTTCACAAGGCTTACTTCTAACAGTGTTGGTTAATGAGATAAATGGGTTACACAAACGTGACTAATGACCTAATATCTGACAGATATTCTGGATGGAGCACCACCATCTAGTGTTCATTTCATGAACTTCTTTAACATGAGCAAAATGTCATATACATTTCCCTGTGGCAAGGAGTTACTGAACAATTTAAGCAGCTCAAAATTAATATTCAAATATAGATATCGGACAGCAGCAGAAGTTTGGTCACTTACCATGTCAACTCTTCTTAAACATTAAATGTTTAAAACCTTAAACTCACATGGGAACACAAAGTGAAGGAAACAGTACAATTGTGTCGACATTGCCATCAAGTGGAAGGGGAGAGAATTTAGCAGGAATGCACTTACAGCTCAAACATCAAACTGGTCTACTTTCTTTTAAAGAAATACAATACATTTTCATATAATACCTGCAAGTTTAGGGGCCATAGGATCCTCTGAAACGTGGACAGGGCCGTCTTTGAATTCCCCAAATTTCTCAGGCTGCTCTGGCGTAGCGAGTGATGGAGACACAACTTCTACAACATTCTTTGCCTCCACAAAGGCCTGAGGGCCCCCAGGCAGAGGCTTGGAGTTGTGGAAGAGGCTAGCCCAAGATTTGGGGAGGTTGGCAGCAGGTGCAGCTGGAATCACAGGCGAATGGGCCTGCTCTGTCACTACCGACTGGGCAGCAGAGTCTGGGGAGACCTGCTGAGCCAGCTCCCCACTCTCACAGTCTTCTTTGTGTTCATCTGCACTGACAGCAGTGTCGGGCTCTGCTAACCCATTGGCCACCCCACTGTCTGCTAACGCCCTGTCCTCCAGTTCAGTAGTCGTAATGGAAGTGGCGACAGAGGGCGTGGCCACAGCAGCTGAAGGAGGAAGAGGGGATTTGGAGCAGGGGCTGTGTGGAGTATCTGAAAGTTCGGGGCTCTGTGGAGCCAAAAGATCTGGCTGCTGATCTACAGTCCTCGGCCCCTCTGTCATCCCTCTGCTTTGAGAGGAGGATGAAGAGGAGGAAGTTGCATTGTTGCCATCTGATAAAGAGGCAGCTCCACTTGGCAAGTCAAAAGAGTCATCAGGGCTTTCACAAGTCCTCTGATTGGCAGTGGATGTCGGGGCAAACTGGGCTGCTGCAACAGCAGCTGCTGATGTTGCAGTGGAGACGGGTCCGGTGGCGGAAAGTTCAGCCCCCGACAGCGCCTTACCGTCCACATCTTCAGCCCTGTGGTGTGGGCCACCGATTGCATGTCCGTTCACCAGTGGCGTCCCATCTGCTGAGCAGCTGCTGCTGTTGCCAGTTAATGGGTCCAGGTAGCTGTAATACCCAGGAGGTCGCTTTTTCTTTTTCTTCCTCTCTCGCTGTCCCAGGCTGCCAGGGAGTCCGTCCATGTCCTGGCAGGCCTGGTTATTGTCCTGGGCTGAGGCCTCCGAGTCAGGGCCATCCAGCGAGTTGAAGTCGGTCCCGTCGGGGACATCGTCTTCTGGAGGAGCCGTCTGTTGGGCCTTCTGGGCCGACTGGCAGCCCAGGATGAACTCTGGAGCCTGGGGGTTGAGGGTGCTGGACACCTTGAACAAAGGATCGTTCAACCCGACAGGCTTGGAATCCATCACCTCGTCAACACCAAACTCAATGCGCTGATAGTCTTCTGCTGCAGATAACATTTCAATCAATTAGAAACACAAAGTGTCGTCTTCAAATACAGCCTAAATATAAGACACTATTTTACTCTCTGCTGAAGAGTTTGTGATAAATCTGTATATCTAAATAACTAAGCCATCACCCAAAAGGGGTCGTGGGAGTTTTCCGACAGGATCAGACACCAATAAAAATAAACAAATCCTGTTGGACCTATTTTTAGCTGCAACAACTATTGTCGTGTCTATTCTCAACTACACCACATTCCTTCTGGGCTTATGTGGATCCCAGGAACGCTGCTAACATGTCCAGAAGTGGGGTGATTCAACATGTAAACAGCCTTTAAATGGACACTTGGATTATTTGAATGCCAGAATTAAAATGCAAGAATGAGGATTTTGTGTCATATCATATCTAATCACATGCTTAACAGTGAACTTTATGCGGTTAAAGTATAGATATAGGTTAAAGGCTCCCTTTATTGGGTTGCTGTGCAGTTTATGCAGTTGCTGCCAATGCTGGAATAGCAACATCTCCTGTAAGATATTCCGCCGCTGAATCAAGCTTTCATCAAAAGGGACGTGATCGTGCATCTGTAGATCAGCCAATAGTAACGTCCTCTTTCTAAATTGAACTGTGATTGGCAAAAGTCTCCCGTCACGGGTTAGATCTCCTGAAGCCTGAAAGCACCACGAGGAGGAGCAGATGTGTAGTTTTCTCTCAGATCACTTGAATTACAATATGCCGAAACATTATTATGGAATATTGCCCAATGACGCCAAAAATAAACTGCCTAACACAGCTTTAACAAAGGGTAGGTTTATAGAGATTCAATTAAATAATGAATATAGATTAAAGTGAGAGAATGCAGTGTGTAAACAAACAGAACAAGGCTAATGACGGCATACTAGAAGACCTTAACTGGCCCTTCTTACGCATTCATGTATGGCAATACCCACTTTCAAACATGAATTTAATTGTTTATAATAATCTTTTTTTAGACTTAATTTTTAATCCCCAATAATTTCCTTTGGGATTAACAAAGTTAATCTTAGATTGCAAAATCCAGTTGTGGACGATTCAAATATTTTCAACTGTATACAAACATATTTTCTGATTTACGACCTCAAATAACACTGAAATGTAATTTGTAAATAAACCATCAATCTAAGTGAACCATATATTTTATACAGTGAATGTATTCTGACGGCAACATCTGATCACCATATATAAAATAAGAATAAATGTTTGCTGGTGCAGCAATTTATCCCAAATGAAGCAAATGTATTACTTGGAAAACTTAAGTTATTTCAATTTTATCCATTTCCTCAGTAGTGTTTTTATGCCCTGAAATGAAGTTGGAATAGAATAACAAACCTGATTTAAGGGACATTACATAAATAATGTCTATCAATTTATATTACTATTTTAAAGTGTCTCAAACTCCTTAAAATGTAGGACAACAATGTACACAAACAAATGTATGTCATCACAAAACTCAATTATTACGTTAAAATGTGTTGCAAGCCAGCTTAAATAGTTAATTATTAAGCAGAGGCGCAAAGTGGAAGAAGGTGAACACACAGGAAACATTTGTTAGTGCAAATCAGAAAAATCATCCAAGGGGCTTTCATAATGTCACAGCCGATTGGTCACCCAAACTGTAAACCCTGATGGTTTGCAGGAGTTAACGGTAGTGGCGTAACGGACCGCTGGCGACCCGGGATCCGCACGGATCCCTCTTCACGGTTCGGCACGCGTGAAAAACGTTTTACAGACGACCACTATCTGCCAATAGTCAGTAAAATATGTGGCATTCATGCTTTTATAGTCGCCTATCTCTGATAATACAACCAGTCCGTGTTTAAATTGACAGGACGGTGGCAGCATCGCTGACAGCTGACGAACACGTTCAGGCTGAATATGAGTATTGTCCAAAGGTAAATTATAACGTTATCATGATGTGTTCACATGTAATCTTGTAAAAATGTAGTGTTGGTGAGAAACATTAATGAATCCAGTTGTTTGGAGACGTTTTCACAGCAACATAAATAGATATTAGAGATGAATTATGACCTGTTAACACGAACAGCTTATAAGACATCAGTAAAACTAATGACAAGATTTGTTTTGATCAATGAAAATACAATCTTTTGTTTCCTAATCATTAGAATTGTGTGTTTTCAAAAAGAAAAAGAAAAAACACTATAAATGACTATAACTAAAAGCATAACATTTAGAATTTTTGATTGTGTACAAACTTCAGAGCAGTTGAAATTATTTTTGTCTGGAACTTCGTAGACCAGGAGCTATAATCAAATAAAGGGATCTGTATCTGCCAATATGGATCAGCGGCAAACTAAATGTGATCAGGGATCTCTGAAAGTTATATTTGCTCCCTTTTTTCTTTTGTGCTGATCCGATCCGAACCGTGAGTCTTATGATCCGTTGCACCACCAGTTAACAGGGTATGAAACCAGCATTTACTTCCTCTACTGGGATGAGAAGATCTTCTGTTAGTGTTACTGAAATCACACTTCAAGACTATAAAATGCGCTCAGCAATAAAAATAAAAAAAAAGTAATAATGCAAGGCTAAATATGTACACACATGTTAGCAATCACATAAAACCATCACTATGCCCTTAGTAAATTAATTGTGATTGTTAAATCATATGAAAGTTCAATCCGATTATAATTCAACTTGGAGCCCTGCAGTGGTAAAAATGCATCCTATGCAAGAGAAGATCAGATACTTAATAGTATCTTGAGCATGCAAAGCTCTACAGATTATACCAACAGGCAAGAGAAAGAATACAGGCGCAAGGTTTAGAAAGCCACCAGTTTTTGAAACCTGGATTTTGAGTTTTACAGCAAACGTACAACAGCTAGTCAAGCCACAGGGTGTCAGACTCCTCAACTCACCGCAAACCTGCAGTCCCATTGACTCCATAATATAAGGTACAGCAGGAGTGCAGTAAGATCCTAAATAATCAATACAAATCAAGGTAAGGCAAATGTCATGTGCAAACGGGTATCAAAGACAGGTGGCTGCTCTTACATTTCTAATTTGGGGGCTCGAAATTTAATGAATGAAAATGGCTGACTCACTCTTAAACAAATAAAAGATCCAAAGGGATATATAATCCAGTCTAAACAATTCATGATGCATGTATGAATATATTCAACGTTTATGATGAAAGATGTATAAAAAGCATCTCCCTGCCAGGCTAGTCAGGTCCGTTCAGCCTGGGCTTCTATCTTACATTGTTTTTAGACCCGCTTTGAAAAACAGTGACGTCAACTAAGAGCATTAGAATAGTCCTCTGATGCTAATACAACTTCAAAAGAATCGAGTGTATATGAAATGTACATACCAGAAGACTGACTGACGCACGGCACTTTGTCATTGAACGGAGGAAGCTGTGTGGAGGCAAAGAAATAAGTTAACAAAAATAAACCTAAAAAAAAATCTAAAAATGACATGCAGCATTGCAAAACAACAATGGGGGTACCTTTGTAATAACATGTTTTGGCCAACCTAGAACCTCAGTTCCAAAGCAGTGTATTAGGATTAGTATTTGTCAAAATTAGAATTAACATTCCCATGAACCCGGTTGCTTCCTATCAAAAGGAGATCCCGCTGACCATTAAAGGCAAACACACAGTCTTGTAAAAAGGCCAAACATCATGGACACCCACGTAATATTGATTTATTAATGTAAAAACAAGTTATAATCCAGCTCCTTACCTCGACATAACATCGTGGAGTCACAAAAAACTGATTGATCTCATCAGGGCTGAATTCCCCGAAGATGTACTGTGGGAAGGAATCAATAGAACCATTAGTTTAAGTGTTGTAACAATCCACTTTTCTTAGAAATATATATTTTCCTGCTGTGATATAGAAACAGATCTTGAATTGTCTGAAAGACCGTATAAATACTTACAAAACTAAAAATAAAGAAAAGAGGGAAAAGTGAAATAATACACATGGTGGAGGACCGGGCCTTCCACTCAATAATAAACTGATTCAGAGGCCATCGTCACTTGGCATCTTGGTACAGGGCTGTTACTAGAGTCAGCCTACACTGCAATGCTAGCTTGTACAAAGGTAAAGCACAACATGAAGTGCTGAGTCATGCAGTGTTGTGCAGAAAACATGTACACAAAAACGCTCAAATTAGATTCCAGGACTTTTTGCATTTAGTGAAGGAGGTTTTTGAGCTGTTAATACAATGCACCCTCATCCTCAAAATAATAGTGTATGTACGCTTTTAACGTCCTGTACTTTTATGACAGAATAAAACTAACTGACTCTTAGATGACATTGACTGAATGCTTGTGATTTTGTCAGCTGGAGCAGTAAACTGTCAATTAAATGATGAATTAATCACTTAAGATAACAGTATTGGTCATTGCTTGCACACTGAACAGTGCTGCATTTCTCAGACACACACACATCTGTTTAGTTACACAACAAACAAAACATTACAAAACTATCATTAGTAGTATATTGTGTAGACCACATTACATTTATGTGGGGATAACATGATTTCGGACAACAATTAACTTCAACCTAGTTACATGGCAGTATAAAATCTTAAGCTGAACCATAAAGTTTTAGGAGCATTTTTAACTACATGAAAAACCTATTAATTGGTCAGGAGAGAGAGGTGATATCACAAGTCGATGCCAAGATTCTGGAAACGTGACAGTACTCGTTTTTCTACAGTACCTGAGACTAATATAAAATGTTCCCGATAATGCCACATTGTGAACAACAAATCCATGTGGAGATCGGCCGTAGAGCGAGCAATGTTAGCTGTTGGCAGCCGGTGGGCGACACAGTCCCGCTTGGCTAAATACCAGAGCTACAAGGTTCAGAGGTTACATTGGGTTGCGCTCAAGCTCTTCTTTAAAAGATTGTATTGATAAAAAGGTAAATTATAAAGATTATAAATTATCATGATGTGTTCAAATATAATCTTGTAAAATGTAGTTTTTGGCAGGAAACTTGGGGCTCACTAGGGATTAATAAAACATTTGCAAAAAATTGTATGCAAACAGAAGTAAAGGAGCATTGAAGTAAGTGGGATTTGTCGTTTTGCTTTTTGCTGTGGTATTGAATTGGGTATTGAGAGTCATGGAATTTTACCGGTAGCAGATTTGTCACAAAACCAAAACATTTTTACTTTTTTTTACAATATTATACTCTGCCTAAATATCTCTGTATTGATACTGAAACAATATCACGGCAAAAATCTAATAGTAATAATAAGATATAAATGTATTGATTTAAAAATGCACATGATATGCAGTAATCTGTAATCGGTTATGGTGGAAGCGTAAAGTCACAGCAGCCGCTCTGTGGACGGTCACCATACTTTCCTCATTTAATGATTCCTGTGCGTTACACCTTCAGGGGAAACGCTGTACGGTGCCACCTGAGTGTCCACGCATGCAAAGCAAAACACAAAGCCAACGACAAAAAGGTGAAACGAACTCTCTAGCCACGCCGTTAATCCTCTCAGTGCAATCAGCAGTGGGACGTGAAAGGGCAGGCACGTAGAAAAGAAAGTGCAGCTCAAGCACATGGAACTCTTTGCAAACGAGGCCCGATGCGAGGGCCCACATTGCTGAAATGGCACTACAAGCGACCAGCCATAAACCAACGGCCTCAGGACGGCTAATACAATCACAACAGAAAGAATGTCCCTTTGCTTCTTTGTGCAGGCGTGCCACACGTACCACACTAAGCTTCCCTTGCTGGTCGTTTGGATTGAGGATTACAACAAATTAGCCATCTGTATGATTTCAACAGTTTAGTGACGACACTACACGCGCAAACACACATTTAACAGGGCTCGAGGAAAGATCCTAGCATAACAAAGAGCAGGGCTGATGATATTCATATTAAGCTTTTCTACCACTTAATGACTTTTAGTGATACTATGTCTCACAAGTTTAAAATACAACGACGCAGAGCAGGGTACCAGATATTGATTCTGGTATATTAGTGAAAATCATTATTGGTACTTCCTCTTAACTTTTTTCAACTATAACTAAATAATATCTACAGATGCGAGTCATCAGTCAAATAGAAACACCTAAAACTGACTCAATAAACACAAAAAAGATCACATCTGGAATTAAAAAAATAAATCTCTGCATTTATCCCAATTCAGAAATCTTCTGCATGACACCTGATACACAAAGCACTGAACTTGTTATCTACATATACACACCCGGGCTGTTTTCTTTTTAAATACCATTAAATTAAACCAATAAATCAGTAGTTACACTTTTGATTTCCGAAGTGGTCGGACTACACGTCGTACAGACCACGTTGTTTCTAGCATAACCCGGCCATAACGCCCTGTGATAAGATCAGGAGACGGCAAGCACTACTGTGCTTGCTCTCGTAAATCCAAAGCAGAGTTATTAATGGACAACTTGGCTCAGCATGAAAATGCTGCAGCGCCACTACAAATAAGGTCAGACTAGTTTTCAATGAATCTCTGGAGCATGCCTGTGCCTGCATATAGGTGCGATGTAGTAATAGGGTGACATATGATTACAAAGCATGAAATAGAGAGGAGTGTGACAGCGAGAGAAAGGAATCCTAGTCATTTATACGGCTGGAAGACAGGTTCTGTCAGACCAAAGCAACTGCTCAACAATGTGGCAACACCATCATTTGTTGATATATTTTTAACAATAAGCCATAAAGCAACCGTTTAATAATCTGAATTAAGTTATTTTGAACATTCTGATACCTGATGGGCTTGAGTGATGTTAATTATTCTGAGAACTATTTGCACTGTAACGTACAAGTTTAACAGAGCGGGGGAACCGTTTTTCTACTCAACTGAATATCTGAGTTTTGGACAGATGATAAGACAAAACATTTAAAGACCTTGGACTCTGACTTGTAGCTGTTTTCTATTTGACAAGTAGACTAATCGCTAACCGTTAGTTATCTTTGTCTACAATAGCCAGTGGCATGCTAGCATTTATTATCTTAGCATGCTACTGGTGGAAATAAAATGTTAACATTTAGCATGTTAGTGTGATGTGCTACAGGTAACATGCTAATCTCAAAGTACAGCCACCTTGGTGTATGAATGTGTGGGTGAATGAGAGGCAAATTGTGATGCACTTTGGGTAGAAAGGTGCTGTGTAACTGCACTTCATTTACAGCTGAGGCTGCTGGGGATTCATTTATGGATTTCACATAAATCTTGTTGATAATCTGTGTTGGAAAAGTGGGAAATTTGCCCTGCAGGATTTCATACTATTTAATCACAATCCAAGCAATGGTGATAATAATAATGCTTTTTAATTTGTGGCTACATTTATAGTGCATTTGTTTTGCCTTTCCATTCTGTGTACAATCCGATTTAGCTAAAAACTTTTAGCAACTTGGATGGTAGTCTGATGCATTTGTAAATACAGTGTGTAGTTTGCCCAAAGAGGCTGAGGATTACTAACCCACTCACAGACTTATGTTTTGGCGGAACATTGGGCTGAACTAAACAGAGACCAAAATAAGGAGGATGTCGCAATAATAGTTTAAAGTTGCAAAAGCGCTTAAGAGTCGCACCATACCATTGGGTGACAATACAATGAACACAGCTGAAGTGGTTTATTCTAAAAATTCTCCATGACTGCATTTTTAGACTCTGGAGAGGAGATCCATGTCAGACCTCAATGTGCATGGAGTGGGACAAAGCTCCCCGTTCAAACCACTTCCCTAATTTGATGAGTTGAGAGGCATTAACTGCAGTGTAATAAAGACATGTACCTTGAATGCAATGGGTTTACGTGTTTTTAACTATTTTTTGGAAGACAACACATTTCTGAGGCATAAGCTATAACATGTTGTGGCAACACATGTCACGGCGTCTAGATGACCGGGTTAAACCACTAAGTTTAAATGTTAATGAGGACATTTCAGCAGGTTTCTCCTAAGTTGGTGAAGACAACTTTAAGAAAGCCCAACATCCAGACCTTCATCTACAGTGTTTCACCACAAAGTACAGACATGTTTCATAATTCACTGTCAAAACGTAACAACCAAAGCAAACAAATAACTGTACTCATGCGTATGTTTAAATGTGACTTTAACATGCCGGTTTTAAAGTTTAGCTTTGATATTTATTGTATTCTTAAAATCCTGCATTGGCCTTTTTCAATGTCTGGAAATATGTTGCCTAAATGAATTACTGCAACTCTGTAAGACTTTATTGGAAGTAATCTCACTGATTGTATGTAACAAACACGGTTTAAAAGAAAAACACTAAAATAATTCATCCAGTGCAATATCTCTTATAGATCAGCTTTATAAATTAGAAAAAATATATTTTTTAGGTGGCACATTTGAAAGGATAATGTACAATTAAATGTATTATCAACAAGCTCCCCGAAGCCTGTCATTGGCAGCCCACTGCTCCCTATATACAGGGATGGGTCAAATGCAGAGGTCAAATTTCGTGTATGTGTATATGACAATAAAAAGGGTTTCTGGGTTTCAATAAGCCAAATGTTGCCATGTACTGTTCTTTGTTCTATTGTTCAGATGCAGAACAATATTTAGTATTTCCTAAATTTCCTGTTTTGCAAAGTTCATACTCATGAGAGCGATGACCTTTTTGCTGGCGGTGATTATTTGGCTGCACCACCTGTTTATCAACCGTTCCTTCACTGGAATTTGGTCGTCTTGATATTGCTTCTAATGTTACACTGCAGTCGGTTTTTCCACTTTTGTCAGTTTTCATTTCTCACAGACCAAATCAACGTGACAGCAACTCTTTCGTCTTTTACACAGAGGGTGGGTCATTAAACAGATTGTTTTTATAATACTGGACAAATGGTTGCTAAATAGGGCAACCAGACCAAACTAAATAGTTGACAGGAGTCCAAATCTGGTTGCCAGAGGAAAATAATCAACCGTTACTGTAAGGTCTGTCGATAATTTAGTCCATTTACAAACTTTTATATTATTAATTATAAAATATCATGCCACTCCTATGCCATTGATACAACATATGATAATAAATTCCCCATCGGGGAGGGATAACTCCAATGGGTACGTTTCATGACAGTTCACTTCACTGGACCAAGACATGAAGAAGCTGACAGCAGTTTGAAAGAAGCTGAAGCAGGTTTACTCCAGAATGTTTCGCTTTGCTCAACAGTGAGCCAATAGAAACACTTAACGTCGAGACCAGGAAGAAGCGTGAAAGCATGGAAAAGTGTCCCTTTCTATGTCCCTTAGTTGTATTCAGGCTCCTGCCAGTCAGAGTTTGAAGCCAGTGAAGCATGCATCACTAGTCTAAGTTTGAATCTCATTGTGTCAATTTAGTCTCAAGTTAAACATTAATTGAGTCAATTATTAGAAACTTCAGATCAAGCATGTCTGCATGCTTGGCTGTACTACAAAACGGGCCTTCCCCCTCCATGATGGCTAACGTTTACTTTCTCAGCAATGTCACCAAAACGTGCCGAGTTATCTACAATCCAAATGTTACGGAGACTGGCGGTGTAACAGCACAGTCGTTACGCTGCGCGTGAGCTTCATCCCGTCTTTTAATTGTTTACATGTGAAATAAATCTTCGCTACCAAACGAGGGCCCCACACTGTCGCATTTGAGTTTAGCTAGCCAGCTAGCGGGCTGACTGCAGAGTGTAACCACACCATCTGTGCAAAGCGGTTAGCTTTTGCTAAAAGCTTTTAACATTGTTATACTGGCTTGCAGCTGCTCAGAAACGTGAAATTATCGCACGCAAAACAGTCCACAAAATCGTCGTTTTACTTCCTTACTGCCCGAAGCAAAATTGCCGTTCCTGCCAGTTATGAAAATGTGCGCTCGAGAGAGAGAGAGGCCTGTCGGTGCAGGTGGGCCATGCAGTCACGCAGCAGTTTTCTGTGTCGCTTTTTTGCCCTGTGAAATAACACTTGTCACAAATGAGATATCACACTACAGTGTCACTGGCACGAGTGTAAGCAAGCGCTCGTGCCATTTGGATGAAACGTGGCTGTCATATCCTTAAAAACTGCCGCAAATAGTGCTGCGGTCTCCTTTGAATGGAGGGACCGAGGCCTGTTAGCTACCGTTACCATGCTGGTGTTTCATTGAGGCTTAGAGGGGGCATTAGCAAGCATTTTTCAGTCCTTACATTTTCAATGACACGCACGACTAGCCAGATATTTTTCAAATTACAACTGGCATCCGACCAAATTGCTGCTGTAGTAAAACACTATTTTAGGTCCGAAGCTTGTTCAACTGAGGGGCGGTCGCGAGTCTATAAATAACGCTGCAGGAGTTGTTTTGCAGGCTAACGTTAGCCAGCTAGCTTAACTACCTGGTTGCTGTAAGATGCCATGCTCCCGGTGAGATTTTCTCTCCTCCCGCTGACAAGATGAAAACTCTCCCGGGAAGGTGTTGCAGGTTTGTAATGACCGTTACAAAAGTTGTCCTACTTCGACGTCATTGTCATTTTCCCAACGTTGTCCTGGCAGTCGTAGGCTTTGATCCATGTAATGCATCAGCACTTCATGCTGCTCGCCTTGCCGTCACCGCCATTTCTGTCTCGCCTCTTCCTCGCTTGCTAGCCAACCCAGCGCGGTCGGTTGTAGTGAGCAGCCCGAGCGCAAGGAGTAGCAACAAACACGTCCGGTGGTGGCTTGCTCCCGGACTTCACAATAAAAGGTCATCCTCTTAAACGATAGATAATCCCCTTCAGTGGTATACCGTGAGCCTGTTGACCTCTGTGGTGCATGTGGAGCAACACATATCAGAACGTCCATACAGTTATTATCACCTGAACACAATTTGAAATAATCAATTTATCTAAATCTGGTTTGTTGCCAAGTCGGTTTTCACTTCCAAGGATTTGCTTTGGCATATTGGAGTATAACATAAACATGAGAGAAAATGAAAGAAACATAAATATAGAATACAAAAAAAATACCACAAGGATAAAATATGTACAATACATCAGAATTGAAATGAAAGAGCTGTGCGGTTTTCAGAAGTGATAGTTTTGAGCAGAAATGTGCATGATTGTCCAAGGAATGTGTAAAGGTTCACAGTACTAGGTATTAAAATAATATACAGAGATCCCAAAGATGTCCCAAAGTCCCAAAGATGTGTGTTAATGTTTTGCATGCAGACAGATGTGAATGTGTATATGTAACATCTTCAGCACCAGGTTCTATCAACTGATCTATCATGTTGTTCTTCATTGTTCATATTCTGAAACAGAATTTGATTTGTCTTAGAGATTTGTGGGCCCCTGAAGTCCTTAGACTCTGGGTCAGTTGCCTGTATTGGCTGAAATCCAGCCTGGCTGCATAAGAAACAACGAAAACAGCGAAAACAACGAAAACCTACCATATTCAGTGTGGCTCCAGTCAGTGGGGGTTCATTGTGACCTCTGGTAATATACATTTATTGCTGGGCTCCTCATGTATGGCTAACTTTAGATGAAGTGGAGAGACCTTCTTTGTCTTGCAGTTTGAGCTCATCACAACTAGCATAACGTTTGACCTCTTTGCTTGAAATAGAAAATCCATAATCTTCTTATAGTCATTATCAGAGAACTGCATGAATATACTCAAACATGTCGCACGTTTAATTGACATTTATTTTGAAATGTGTCTGTGCTTTGGAAATGCTGAAAGTAAAGTCGTGGAATATTGCCACGAGCTTCACGATTAAAGTGTGACCGCATGCGCTGTGTGCGTTCACGTCCGGGTTGGGGCATGAATCGCAAAATTTTAGTTTTTGTGAGTTGAGCGACTTGAAACCCAAGTATTTGTATCCACTTTACAGTTTTAACAAAGCACTAGTGAAGCTGCATGTGTCCTGTAATTACAGGGTCAAACTGACAAGGAAATTAAATGTAGTTGTCTGTTTTAGTCTGTCATAAACAATATAATGAAGTACTTGTATTACAATATAGTACCTAGATAATGTATACATCCAACACAATATAAACTACTATAACCTGGGGAAAGAACCCAAAAAACGTTGGATAAGCAGCAGAAAATTCCCTATTTTTACCAAAAATCAGCCCTGAAGTAGTGGGCGTGGCACATCACAGGTGAGTGGCAGGAGGATGACACCTCAAACACAGGAAGTTGAGAAAGGTGGGCTGTTTTTTTTCTCTCGGCATAAACACGACCACATTGTGTACGGAGTCCAAAAGGTAGGAAATAATAATGTTTTCTCTTTGGTTTTATTCATGAGCCCAGAACCAATTACTTTACATAAAAACACGCGGATGAACTTCGCAACAGGAGATAAATCCTGAGCGCTGCTATAAATTGCAGGCCTGTCACAAGAATGTGCGTTGGGCTCCCATGTTAAAACACAGCAATGTGCCAATGCAATCACGTAAACGTCCAATTTACTTTGCTGACATACTGCACCTCATATATATGATTAAATTCATACAGCCTACTTGAATTTCTGAGAGCCCCAAAATCATCACCACCGTTTCCCGACTACTCTACGAATGAAGAAACCTCTCTCTGTCTTGGGCCCTTCTCCTCGCTCAGCCTTCAATCTCCCTTAAACACTCACTCATGCATGCTGCTAAACTGTCCACAGTGGCAGTTACAGAGATAAAAGCCAACTGTTCACTTTTGTTTATGAGGGTGTGTAACAGGATTCATGTCCACAATCTTCTTTTGAAGGCAGAGGAAAATGCCAGAGAAAGTAAGAAACCACCAGAGGAGCGATGTGTATGATGAGTACAGGGGCAGGGACAGAGACTACTCCCACAATAGAGACCACCCATCATATGACGGCAGAGACCGCAACCAAAAGCCAAGAGACATGGACGCCACAGGCTCTGCTGGTGACAGGAGGGCCAAACAAAACAGACAGAGGGACATGACAACTGCCTCTCACCAGGACCACAAAGGACCCTCAAACCTGTAAGGGACCGCATGCTTTCTGTTCACATGTCCCCACACTCACTGTCATGTCCTCTACACACACTTTCACCATCTGTTGCAGAGTTATTTATTTGCATTTTTATGTAAAATGACATGTTTTGTCGTGATATTGTTTGTGGTATTGTCCTCGTAGGTCCAGAGAGACTCCGGCCTATCACTCTGAAGGGGAGTATTATGAACGACAACACAGACAAACTCTTTACAATCTCAGATACATCTTAACCAGCAGAGGCAAGTATATATATTTTAGAGTTCTTCTGCGAGGTGTTGGTTACAATCAAAGTGCATGCTCAGCAGCAATTTCTTTAATTAGTTTGGATGGCCCCCAAAATTTGTTTGAGAATATTAAATGCAATACACATTTATTAAGCGCAAACTAAAAAGTGGACATTAATTGAGACCAGCAACTTTTTGGCACTTTTGCTTTAAATAAAGATATTTTTGTCGATCAATACATTGACTCATCGTTTCAGCTCTATCTCACCGTGTTGCTATCCATTAATGTCAGTATTGTATTTCTCCCGTGTCTCTTAGGTATCTGCCAGCTCATGGAGCTGTTTTTGAATCTGCTTTTGGTCATCTGCGCCGGAGTGCCATACAGCAACAACGGGGGCTACCGTGACCTGGCCAGCCTCGGTGGAATCTACGCTTATCACTTTGGTGGAGCCAATGCCTTCACTGGAGCTGATGCAGTCAGGGTGAAGGAGCTGGACCAACTGTACCATCAGCTCAAGCGGCCTCCGTACGCCTTCGCCATGGCCTTCAGTGGGGTTTTAATGATCTACGCATGTGCCATGCTTGGCCTGGGGATTTTCAGGGTCCCTTACCGCTGGCCCCCTGTGCTGCTCGGGGAGGCCCTGCTGAACCTGCTGATCGGCCTGGGCTACATCCCTGCACTGGCCTTCTACTTTATCAAGCTGCAGGAGACCTACAATGATCCTATCTGTACGGAGAGAGAGCAGATGTACAAAAGCAAAGGGCACAAGGGCTTTGGTTGCCAGTTTCACGGTGCAGATATCGCAGGAGGTCTCTTTGGGGTGGTGGGGGTGTTTGTTTTCATCTTTGGTGCAGTGTTGGCTGTCAGAGCTTTCAGGTCAGTGCGGGAGCTAAAGAAGCAAAGGACAAATGAGGACAACAATTTATAAGACTTTTCTCTTTGGCACATTTGAACAAAAGTGAGATTGATTAGAAATCCCTGTGACAAGACAGCATGGGAGTTTTTTTTAATCATATAAGGTGTTATTATGTATTCACTATGGTTGAATGTGATTTTTATTTTTTTTAATCCATTTTTTATACTTCGAAGAAGTTTCTGGACTTGATTTTGTAGAATATTTGTTATTTCTACTACTTTTCCAGTTTACATACCTGTGTACTGTGTCTGTTACATCTTCTATAAACGTGTAGTTATAATAAACCACTCCAATATCAAGTATTTTTTATTACAAATTGTTCATTAATAAATTATAAGATAACCTCAGATTAAGAGGCAAATAGAGAAACAGTTTGATTGCCAGAAATACTACCAGATAATATTTTATTCATTTTTCTGAGAGGACTCAGTTGGGTAGCACAGACAAACAGAACTTGCAACAAAGAATATCAGACGTTGCCAGTTAGTTTAAGAATAAGATATGTGATATGTCTGATATGTCACCCAGGTGTGGTTTCATAGACCTAGATCTCTTTTTAGGTAAAATAATTTGTGGGAAGAGACCCTGGGGAAGACCCAGAACACGCTGGAGAGATTACATCTCCCAGCTGGCCTGGGAACGCCTCGGGATCCCCCAGAATGAGCTGGAACATGTTGCCGGTGAGAGGGAGGTCTGGGTCAGCCTGCTTGGCCTGCTGCCACCGCGACCCGACCCCGGATAAGCGGTGGAAAATGGATGGATGGATAATTTGTGTTCCAGATTTAAATCATTGTGCATTCCTTAGATCTGATCGTGGTCAGAGTGAAACTCAGTCTGTTGACAATTAACCCTGGCAGTTGGATCTTGATACAGAAGGTTGTTGTTATAGACTGAATCAACTGTTTCTCAAAACCAAATGTCTCAAGCTCTTGAAAGGATGTGAACTCGAAAACCTACGTGTCATCTATTAAGGAAAATGGCTCCTGAAAAAGTAGCAAAACTACTTGCAGAGTGGCAGAACAACTTGTTCCTTACATGGAGTAAAGAAAGTGCAGACTAAGCAGTAATCAGAACTGGTGGTTGAAAACACCTCATGTTACCTTGAATGTATCGAAGCTGTGAAGTCAGCTGGATACAGCAGACAAGCCCTCGGGGGTGCTGTACTTTGAATCTAACTTGTTGCTGTATAAATAAAGGTTACATATTTTGAAGCTTTTACCACAGACTGCTGAATACCTACTCTGTTGTATACTCTTCCCTTGCAAGCGAATAAACGGAGAAAAGACAACTTTGAATCTTCTGAAGACTTTATTGTTGATTTGTGAACAAAAACTCTCTTCTCCCAATTAACTCAGAAATCTTCCACAACATCAAAGGAGAAGAGTGCAGCAAAGCTTTCTCTGCTGACTTGTAAGATTTCATGTTGTCTTTTACAACAGTTACGGTTGTCATTCTGAGCTTCACCAATAGATGGCAGATCTACTGTGACCAGGAATTTACCCATGACTTCAACATATGAGCTGCAAGTCACATCCTTTTACATACTGCAGCTGGCCTTAAAACATGCACACTGTTGCATTCAATTGGGAGATACTACTTCCTCATAACGTTGCATCTTGAACTTTGACCCTCTTGTTGTGGGATTGTGGGTCAGAATAGCCAGGAAAGCATGCTGGTTTGCATACTGCAAAATGCGACTGGACGCAGTAGGACATACTGGTATTTTATGCATACTGCCTTTAATATTCTATGTATTGGGACATACTACATTTATTTCTAGCACACCCAATAGTATGGTAGTAGAGTATGGTAGTGTGGATATTGGAATCAAAAGATGGGACTTGATTGTAGGAGAAAACCTCAATAGAAAGTTAAGCATATCCTATTACATTATGATAAAAAACATTGCAGACATAGATCTTATACTGACCAAAAAGAGTCATTTTGATGATATTTATTGGCATGAAATCATCATAAAATCGGTGAGCAAAATGGACACAGGACAAAAAAATTCACAGTAAAAAGTTTTATTGCTACTTGGCTTAAAGTTAATTTAAAAACAGCGTGTCTGCTTAAAACTAATGATAGCAGCATTTCAAATAAAAATACCGACCATCCTCCACTCTCAAAGTTTAAGGGGAGTACAATTCTGTCTGACACACAGCAAAAGTGCTCATTGTTAGACCTGTTCCTAAATAATACATCTTTTGATTAATAAACATAAAATGTATCAGTAATCTGCATGATAGAATAAAAAAACTCAAAATATTAGATATGCTCCATTTTGTACAAATAAATCATATTTTGTATGTACTCTATGCTTTTATGTTTGGATTTATATTTAGGGCATGCTTTCAACATTAAATACAGCTTTAATTAGTACCTTCAAAAGAAGTACCACAACAAGAGAGAGTTTTCTGCAGACTCCCAATCACTTTAAATTCTGTAGTGGAGAGGGAAATATAAATTTGCATGAAACAATGATGTACAAAAATAAACACCAGATTCTTGGCATCAAGAAAAAATATTCAAGCATTTCTAGAAAATAATGTACAGTACAGAAAGGAACCGTGAGATTAAACAATGGCTACTTTGGTCACATGTTAAACAACTGGAGCATTTCGGATCCGTTTCATTCACCATACCCACGCAGAATTACAGTCAATCCATTATTCACACGGGCATGCATACACTTACTGAACGTGTGCACTTAAGCTTCATTTTTGCAAACAAACAGACATTTCGTAATGTAGTGGTACAGGGAGCTTGTCAAGTTGTGCAGAGAGAAGATGATCCCTTACTGTTCAGAAATGAATCAGCAGTTTAAAAAAAACACTGTTGCCTACTCGAATGCACATACTCTCTATTTTGGTGCACAAAGGGGATGAGGAGCATTTCATCACTGGACCCCCTCCACTTAAGAATTAAAGGGAATATTTTAGGCCAATGCACTGTACCCTGCATGTGCTCCCTCTTCCTGTATCTACGCACACAGTCCGCATATGTACATGCACACTGATGGATCAATATTCAAATATACTTCAAGTTGGAAACATATATTGGACAGGACAGTGAGTGAATATATATGGTGTGAACCAGAAGACAGACGGAATGAATGTAGAACTATATAGAAAAGATGACCAAGATGATTTTGAATAGCATTAAATGTAGCAGTGCAATGCAGCCCAAACTAATTCAACTACACTGCAAATGAGCCAAAGCAAGGGACATACTCAGAAAATAAAAAAGAGCAATGCAACTTGCACACACAATCCCAAATTACACACATCATACATACTGTACATACACCAGTCATTATGTATTTTCAGACATATTGAGAAATAGGATTCTTGTAGTTTTAGGTGATGAAAATGAAAATGTATATTCTGATATACATGAATATATATATACAGTTGACACTTTGCATATTTGTATCAGCAATTCCCACCATTTCGTTTCAAACATTATGGAAAGTTCAATTTCTCCTCTCCGAACGTGCTCGACAGTTCAGTCTTCCAACTTGTTTCAGATGTGTGTCAATATTATTCACAATCACAATCTGTCTTTCAGCTTTTCTAGCTGCACCTTGTAGCGCCCATCCATGTTTCAGTGGCATCGGTCCAGACGCCTGACACCATGTGTCGGTCCCGGGTGTTTGGCATCTCCGACACTGCACAGTCTGATCAGTAAAGTGACTGGAAGCAAATGTTTAGCCGCATAATAAATGATGCTTTCCCATTCTTCATTTTAGAAAAAGAAAAAAATCAAAACGTCAGTTGGAATCAGTGTCTGAATTCTAAATAAGCACAATAAGGACAATACCGGGTCCTTGATGTGGATTATGGTAAATATTATCTTAGACTAATGCTTTCATTACATGTAATTATTATAGAGAGGTTTCAAAAAACATTTCCAGCTACGCCAGATGTCGAGGAAGCAATGAGCTCAACGTTTCAACTAAATATCGATACTGGGTATAAATAAAAAAACAATAACTGTATTGCCTCGTTTTCTGCCAGGAGGGGGGGCAAATTCATATTTATAGAGAGTAAGAGTAAAGTCAGCAGATAGTGTTAGTGTGGTTGAAAACATATATAGTGCTGTTTGTGGTGCTGATGTCAAAAATGTAAATATCATTCAGTAAAATCCGGATGTTACTGAAAGCAAACAAAAGAAACTTCAACAACAAAAGAAATATTTGTCACATTGAAAACACACCATGGAGTAAATGTGAATTGTCTTGATGTCACTCTAAGTAAGCACATGTTGTGTTGGCTATGTATTCATAGACAAGAGGTGATATGTTGGACTGAGGGAAGCCACAATAATCAAAGCACGCTATGTTGAAAAATATCTCATATATTAAACTCAAATATACATAACTCTGAATATAACTATTTTATATGTACAAAGTGCTTTTAACCATGAGTCAAAAACTGGCACATCAATTAAGGCTTCATCACTGACTTATCACTCATTCCTGTGGAGCAGAGAAAGGGCAGAGGGGCTTCTTCGATAAACAACAGCCCGGAGCGAAAGACCTCAGTCACAAAAAGAACATGAGTGGAATGAAACAAAGGGCTTCTCCTTTCAAAAATACTGAGAAGTGTTTACTTTAAGGCTAAAAGGGAACACGGAAAGGTCCAGCTATGCAACAGCTGTGGAATGCCATGAACTGCACCACTACTGACTTGGAGTGGCAAAAATATACATGTAATGTAGTAATCACTGACATGAGCAATTACCCAACTTTGGCCTTCTTATAACCACTGCAGCAGAGCTGCTTTCTCTTTTGGCACAAGGTGGGGAGGTTCAGGAACGGGATCCATAATATTTACCTGATAATTCAAATAAATAATGTATTTTTTTTTTACTTTCAGCTGAGATAAATATGATTAATCTTACAAATATTAGAAAAAATGGAAATGATTAGGAAGTCGTGATATTACCTGCTGAAGCGCTGTACGTGACTTAATGAGGAACAATGCATTATCTAGTTAGTAACGGACTGAACCGGTGTATTCTTGCTGCAGTACCTTATACTGTTGCTGCACGGATTCTTTTTTTTTATACCAACTGTTTGATCTGAACTCTAAGCATTGACCCCTGATCAGGAAATGGCATATATGCAATATGTGGAAGTGAAAAATAGAATTGTTTCTTTATCCCTAAGTTCTGCTCTTACATGTACAACTGTGGTTCAAACGTTGTGGGATTTTGTGACTACAGACCAGATTTAGTTCCGTTCATAATGGGCCAAGATAACACACCCTGGAAGTCATCTGGATGTGTTGCAGTGCATAAAAGAGCAAAGCAATATTTGCTAAGATGTAAAAATGACAATAATTGAATCTGCATGGATGGATGTTTACATATTTTGAAAGGGTAGCAGCCCCCAAAGTTTGGATACACTAAAATATACAAACTTAGTACCAGTGGAAATATCTTACAGTACATATAAATACTGCTTTCATCCTTCATCTCTTGACAAATAAAAAAAATAAAATAAGAAATGATATCCTGGGGTCCACTAATCTGTGACCATAAAACAGACTAAATTGAAATTAAACTTTTATTCCTCTATGCAGTTCTTAAGGAGACCATTTGATCATGCGCGGTCACAGATAATACTGTCATGAGGGTTTTTGAACTCGACAACACATCCGCTCTGTACAGTTGAATGACTTTGATATCCTTTTTGACAGCTATTCAAAATGCGTTGTTCTAAATAGCGATACTTTTCAATCTCGGTGTCAGCAGCTCAAGCACACCACGTCATTTGGCTGCTAGTTGTGAGAGTGTACTATATTGTATAGAACTAATTAATCCTATATCGACAATTCTATACATATTGTGTGGGAATGTTAAAAATAAAACCGAACCATAACGTCTCTGGCTATGTAAATGCAGTTATCTTGTCTTCACATCTTCCAGTCCTATGTGCCTTACAAGCATTTATATCGTCTGATTTCCTTTATAAGCCACAGGAAGAGGAGGAGAGCAGAAGCTGTGTCAGTGTGGGTCTCTTGGAGACACTGTCCCTCCTCCAAAATGAATTTAACAAGCTCACATCCCCAAAACACAGCCTGGATGTGGGGGAGCTCTAGGCTGAGTCGTCTGCAGTAGGCACTTTTTCAAGTTTCAGTCACAGGGCTTCTCTTCAGGACCTCTTCAGGACCACGGAGCCCATGGAGAGGAGGTTTGACCTCACTGAACACAATCTCTCATTCACACTCTCTAGATTGCTTGCTTTCCAAGTAAAGGGAAATGTTGCTGACATGTCTTAACACATGAGGTATCCCATCTCAAGTCAGGCTTGTTTTGGTCTACGATAGCCAGCCATCATTTTCACAACGTCATTTTATAAACTGGGATTTTAGTCGCTCCTATTTCTTCCGATAGTCAGACCGTGCACAGAAACCTTTTTTTTTTACCTCACCTTAATGCCGCAGCATTACATAGTGACTATCAAAGTCCCACAGGTTTGTCTTGTCCTCACAAAAGATCTGAATAGCAACTTGAACTGGAATATCCCCCATGTATCAGAAAAATCTCCACTTCTTCCCTGGAATGGCTCTTACTGTCACAGAATTCCAGCCGTATGACGCTCTGATGTGTCCCCCCTCTAGAGGGCGGTATCGTAGACTTCGTGCTGTAGGATGGGGACCGGTCCTGGACCTGGGACCAGGTTGGAAGCAAATGCAGGTGGGTGTGGATGATCCCACACAGGGTCTCTTAAGGAAGGGGGTATGGATGGTAAGGGGGGGCCTGAGACTAGAGGGCTCTGGCCTCTTAGCTGCTCCCTGACCTCCTGCTCCAGACTAGGAGGCACAATGAACTGGTCCTCAGGGTCCTGTTGTGCTGGGGCAGTGAAGTAGCCAGATTTCTTCTTCGGAGCCTCCAGGGCCACCTCAATGAGATTATGACTGTCCTCGGGGGCTACCACAGAGCCATTGGACAGTTTCTTCCCAAACAGGCTGGATGTGGAAGGAGACTTTTTGAGGTCTGCAATCTCTCTCCCACACACAGCCAGAAGGCAGCCGTTCGTAGCAGAAACCACCACGCTGTTCTGTCTTCGCATTTTGCCATTGGGATAATCAGAACCTCGCTTTTCAAGGTCCAGGTCTTTGGGGCTCACAGGGGCCCCTGACCGTAGTTGGAAAGCACAGCAGTGAATGTCAACCTCTACTTCCAACTTGCTGCCATTGGAGATCACACCCTCAAGTGGAGCTTCATCGTCACTGTCCAAGCCGTTGTCAGAGTGGTTGCTTGAGAACGTAGCGCAGGAGGGTTGCCGCTGGAATAGGCCTGGGTGGGTTCCTGCCCCAACTGAGCCTGGCACCATGATCCCACACAGTGTAGTAGCAGGGTGTAGGCTACAGCGCCTCTCTGGACGGGACGCAGGGCCAGAGGATGGGTGCTCGTCTGAGGCGGTGGAGCCCGCCTCGCTGCCCACCTCTGAGGCGGATGTCTCACTGTTGAACTCAGAGACAATACCGCTGCTGGATGACAGGGGGACCGGGTCAGTGGGGCCTGGGGTCACAGTCACAGGCACAGGCACAGCGACGGGAGGGGGACCCCGTGGTTCAGTGGAAGAGATAGGTGGCTCACAGGTACAGCTGTCCTCACCAATATGCAGGGATACTACTGCAGCCTCAATGTTGTCTTTGCAGCCATAACTCTGAGCGAGTGAACACAGCTTCTTGGCAGCAGCGCGAGGATCCCGCACAGCCTGCACAGTGCACACGGCCTCCTGGTAGGAGACTCGTTCAAACAGTGCTCGATTCCCCAGGATCAAGAACTCATCCTGAGTACAGAGAGGCTCAGTGTGCACCCAGGGCTTTGGAAGCACCCACGGAGACAGATATGAGCAGCCCAGCAGGCGGGAGCAGCATGTCACTCCACTCACTTTGTTATCCTGTAATACAGAACAGACATTAGAATTGTAGATGCGCTCATAGCTCATAAAATATGCACCTGAATATGAAGCTGCACACACTAGCCGTGCATTACCTCGGTAATAATGGCTTTGCTGAGTTTAACTCTCTCCATCTCCTCAGTGCAGTTCTCCAAGCTGTAAACCTTAGAGAGAGGTACAGGTCGGCCGTCCCGACACAAAACTGCCTGGCAGGTGCCCACATTGGCCACAGTGAGGCTAAAGTAGCCTCCTGGATCTGAAGGCTCATGGTGAATATAACACAGCAAGGCAGAAGCTCCCAGTTTCTGGCCAGCCATTCCTAGTTTCCTGTCCAATACAAAAACAAACAACAACGTTGCTGACAAACTTATAGAGTCACTGGTGTCAGCCTACAAAACTACAGCAAGAGTGCAATTGTACATTTTTACAAAATCAGACAAAAAAAAAAATCTGTTTTACCTGTGTGAGGTGAGGAAAGTGTTGCACATATACACACTGTCAATACTGGAGTGCTGCAGTTCCTCGCAAAGCACATCTCCCATGGTGCACTGCAGCAGCCGAGGCACTTCCTCATTGCGGTCTCCGTCAAAGATGCCATAACATGCTTCCACACCGTCTCCAAACCGGTCTACAGCCAGTACGGACACACACAACCTGTCCAAAACAATAGATCCACATTAACAAACAGATGACTCAGCACCTCCCATACAGAGGTAAAACGAATATACACTTCAGCATGCAACGCTGCAGCTCCAGGTTAAGGGGTGACAGCTGGAGGAGCAGCCAGGCAACACTGATGCACTTAACATTGTTACAGATATTAAATCCAATTGATTTATTAGGCCCTACTGCACCAGCTACTCTTTAAATGCCAATGATTCAGATATTGACTCCTTGGTCGACACTTGCTCTGTGCTTGTACAGCAACATCCGAACAGACAGATATACTACAGTACACCCAATGCACCAAAATAACATTCTAAGAGTGATTCTGTGCTTAACAGCACACAAGACACAAGGTAAAGCTTGCCACTTGACATAGAAAAGAAAGACACTGAATTAATAATCGAGTGTCTTACTTAGTTGAAAACAGATTTGTTGACACAACGGGTAATTGTCATATCATTCACTTGCAAATGACAATTGAAATACATGATGTCTGCAGTTATTGAAAATGAAGCCCTTTATTTTTGCAAACAAACAGAGAAAAAACACAGAAACACAAAGCAGTACTCACTTGTTCCGTTGCCCGCTCATTTCAGAGTAGCCGTGGTTCCATGGAGTGGAGGCACTCTGTGAGTCTCCTGCTGTCGTGGTGGATTTCTGGTCTAATTTTAGGGTGGTGATATGACTAAAAAAAAAGAAATATAGTAGATAGAATTGTAGAAGGTATATATGCAACATTTCCTCACACAGTTATGTTATATTATTTGTGTATTCTTAATGCTTCACATATATACGAAGGAACTGGTCTGGGTTATATTACTCACCTGAAGAGGTTGAGGGTTTTATGTTCCAGCATCAGGCTGTTGTTGCCTGTCAGGTCCAGCTCTTGCAGAGTGGAAGGCAGCGAGTCGGGCAGCTGGATCTCAGTCAGCTCATTACAGCTTAGATCTACGAGCTGCAAACGTACGAAACACACATGAGCTGACACGGGCTGAACATAATAATACACACACTGGTCAAGCAAATAAAATCTGACCTTGATCTCGGGCAGGTTGAGGATCTCTGGGAAGACAGTGATTTGGTTGGAGTGTGCTATGAGGGTATGCAGTCTCTTACAGCTGGACACAGTGGAGGGGATAGCCTTTAGCTTGTTGCCACTCAGATTTAGCTCCTCCAGCAGTTCCAGCTTACTCAGTTTACTGAAGACACACAAATCCAATGAGCTAAACAAGTAGAACACAAATGATCACTCACACTGATTGACATGAAAGCCAAAGTAGCACACCTGGCTGGGAAGGAGAGCAACTGGTTGTAGGCAATGTGAAGAACCCGCAGGTTCTGGTGTCCGACCAACAGAGCACCGCAGTTCTCATTCAGGTTGTTGCTCGTCAGGTAGAGCTCCTGGAGTGTGCTGAGGCTCTCCTCGGATGGGCTGCTGGGTGGAATACTTTCCAGGGCATTGGCTGATACATTTAAGTATTTTAGGCTGTGAAAGAAGACAAATAAACGTTAGTTTAAAGCCAGTCCTGTCTAATCTATAGTGGATATGGAGAAGCTGATGCTAGAAAGGTGAGATGCCTGAGTAGAAGCATCAGTAAAGTTTTAAGAGCCTTTTTCACACATAGTTCCTGGTAAATTACTGGAATAATGTTTCAGGCATCTCTATTGATTTTCCCTATTCACACATTCACTACATTCAGGAACAATTCTGTCTTGCACCTTCTCCCGCATGCCATGGCAATGCGGATAAAGAAAATTAATAGATGATTCGAGTTTCAACAAGTTTGCGAGACAATTCTCATCGTACTGAAGAGAATACTTCTAAACACAGACCGTAAATTAATTCCGAGCATTGATTAACATACTGTTGAACCTGCACCAAGAGAGACAGTCATTTAAGCTCCACTTTTTCTCATGTGATTGATGCTGTTGAGTCACGGTCTGAACGTATCACATACTGAACAGCAATAAAACCTGTCCTTCGGGCAAATGAGGGAGTGGACCTTGTCACGCTGTTGTTTCAAATCAGTCAGACATTTTTTAAAGTACAATGATATCTCTGCAGCCCACAAACATTACTGTTGACACCTCATTGGCCTTGTGGAAGTGTTACTTATCAACCTAGTTTCTGTAGCCATTTATTGTTTCTATCAGTCCTGAGTGTAACGGCTTTCCCTTCCCTTTTCTTCGACAACATATCAGGAAACCCATCCATCACAAAGCAGTCACTGCCATTACGTCAGACTGTAAAGTACATTAGAGCATTTGAACTGCTAATGGGTGTTAAGTGATTTACCACACAGGAAATATGAGGGAAAATTAAGCTCCAGTTACGTTTTGGAATGCTCCATTGATTTTCACCACAATCCCTGCATACTATCTATACTTCATCCCTAAAAAACAATGAGCTGTGATACAATAACTGTCCACCTCAACCAAACAGTGAACACACTGCAGGGAAACATTTCAAAGCAGAGGAACCAGCTGCTGAAACTAATCTAATCTAGACTCAACTAATAGCATAAATATTCTTGAGGACAGAATTAAATGGCAAACAGAAAGAGCTGCAGAGATGAGCGGGTTGAGAGACTGACTTTAAGGCCTTGTAAAACAGAGTCTCAGGGAGCTCGGCTAGCTTGTTGTGCTGGAGGTCTAGGGCTTCCAGAGGGATGTGGTCAAGTAGGTCAGGCACTCTCTGCAAACAGTTGTTCCCCGCCAGCAGCTTTCTCAAACTCAAGCTGTTGAGCAGTCTGTTGGAGGCCAGAAGAGACATTAGAGAGCCAGATTAGAACAAGAGGAAAAAAACAAAAAACGACCAACAAAAAAGCAACAAACTAAAGAACATTGTCTGCCTGTGCAGACTTGACTACTAGCTGCTAACTAATCCACCAACGACCTATTCAGCTTGGCTGCCTGCACAGACAAGCTCTGCGGCTTTTTATTCTCTCCTGAAACATCACAGAAGAGGAATATTATCTCATTTGCAAAAGCTTTTCTGAAGTCTCATTCAAATGCAAATGCCTGTGTTGCGTGTTTTCAGCGAAAGATTGGCAAGCACTTAAGGAAGGCCATATTATGAAAATATGAAAAGCAAAAGAGTGAGCAGTTAAAACGCATGACCATATGTAAAGGGGCACCTGATCTTATAATTCAGAAAACGATAGTTATCTGTTTATCACAAGAGGCTAAATACATTCAAATTATGCAACATTAAAGATAAAGTTTCAGCATAAAAGGTTCGGGATTAGTGACGGAATAAGGTCAGTAACCTGGAAGGAAGCTCAGACAGGAGATTGTGCGTGACGTCCAGCATCTCAATTTTCCTGCAGTCACACACCCAGTCCGGAAGGTACTCCAAAAGGTTCCTGTCTCAACACACACACAGTCACACACATAGAAAGACACACACAAACACTCAAACTGAGCAGAGTTGGCAATTTGCTTTTACTAGCACAGATAAGGAAACAGTTTTGAAACTGTGATAAACAGGAGGCCAACATAATATCCTCCAGGGTTATTTAAGCATGCATATGATCTTTATCTGCATTTTAATAAAAACAGTTAGTGGCTGCAGTCAGTACTTGAGGTTGACTCGAAAAAAAGGACATTTTGCAGATGTTTCTTACACTGGCAGGTGGTTCAAAAGCACAAGATAGCTTATTTAACCCCTGACATGCCGTAAGGTTTACGTTGCATACTCAGGCCTACAGCCAGCAGGGTTGAGATGCATCACAGTAATTAAGTAGAGTAAAATGTTGTGTTTAGGCCAAAGGTGTGTGTGGTTCACTATCTTAAAATAGTATGTTTCTTTCACAAATTTTCTAATATTTGACTGATGCAGCCTGAAAGGCAGACAAGTATCTAGACAGGCAAAGTCAAACTAGCATTGAAAAGGACGTTTATCGGGACTCGTTCCATTTGTTTAGCATCTTTGCCTTGTACATACATACAAGCTTCATGGGGTAGATTCCACCGAATATTTGCTTTTGTTAGGTATTGATTATCCAATTCTGTATAGAAATTGATTTACCTCCATTTAGCACTTTGCACAACTAGATTAATGAGCACGAAGATAAAGATACTATTTTTAGACATCAGAGCTGATTTTCAAAGATCTGCAAACACAGAGACCACAGACATTTCTTCTTCCCAGCCAGAACTCACTGTGATAGGTCCATGTATGTCAGCTGGTTAGGGACTGGATAGATGTTGACTGTTGTAAGGCCTGTGGGCAGATAAAAGCAGCAATCAGCAGCTAAACATCTGGCCCGATCATATGTGTGTTTATAAGATGAATGTATCACAAGGGAGAAGGGCCTGAACGCACAAACAGCAGAGAGAGGCAATAATAGCAGCTAGTTGACGCTCTGTTTGACTCACGGTTGCTGCTGGCATGAAGCATCCGCAGTGTGAAACCGCTGAGTGTGAGTGTCCCCAGCTGGTTGCGCTGGCAGTGCAGAGTCTCCAGGTTGCAGACTGAGCTCAGGTCCAGTGAGTCTAAGCAATTGTCCCGTAAATCCAGCTGGGTCACCTGACTCACTGCCTCTAGACTCTCACTTTTCACCCAGTGCAGCCTATTCAATCTGCATTTAAGAAGGAGCACAAGAGATGAAACATCACTGGGTATTCCTAATGGAGCAGAGGAGAAAGTATTAGATTAAAGGAAATGCTCGATACAGTTAAGAAACTCTGAAATGTCATACTTTCTTAAATTATAATAGTACTACAACGGTATTTAGGGTTGTTGCAAAATTTGCAGTGAGAGAACATCAGCATATATTACTGGAAGAATGTCAAAACTATTGAGGCATATATGGAAATTAATAATAGCAGTAAACATGTGTCCTCACAATGTTCCAGTCTGGTATATGTCAATGCAGTTTTAACTTTGGCCAGAATAATAGAGCAAAAAGTAAGTCTTATAATCTTTTAGGTCAATCAATGTGATTTAAAAAAATGACATATGAATCCCCAGGTTTCAACAAAAATCGACACACTGGAACCGATCTATTGTCTCTCCCTTTTCACTGAGGTTCAACTTCTATTAACTTTTTTGTCAGACTTGTCTATCCATATTTCGCAACCGACCTTTAAAAGCAAGTGGGCAACAAAAAGTAGTGAAATTCTGAGTTCAGGACTGTCAGGTAAGGATCTGTGCTGAGATCCAGGCTCTCCCTGACCTCATCCATCCTGTTAATAAATAACAATTCCTGTTTTATGAGAGCTGCCAGCCCGCTAACTCACCACAGATTAAATACATTCTGCCATGGCCAAACCGCAATTTCACTCCCAAGTTCCCAAAGAGGTCCCCTTGAGCAAGATACTTAGCCCCCGACTGTTCCTGTGCAGCTTGTGCAGAAGCCAACAAATAAATACGACTGCAGTTCTCGGCAGCTCACAGGTGTGAAGCAGGGCAATGCAGGAAGACATTTGTCTTCAGCAAACCTGGTATCTTAAAAAAATATGTTTCGTAAAATAAGGTGAAACTTAGAGGAGTGGCCGAGGTTCAGATTAGTGTTTGTGTCATATATCTACTGTCTATCCTAAAGGAAGACAAAAAAAGAAAAAAATAACTTATACTGGATTGATTGTGATTGGGGGGTCCCCGAACAGTGCAAGAAGAGGCCGAGAGCTGTTTATTCTCTGGCTGGCCTCTTACCGGAGGTCGATGTTTTTCAGGTGGCTCATTCTGGCCACAGTACACAACTCCAGACTCTCCACTCTGTTCCCAGCCATGGCCAGCTTGTCCACTGCACTCAGCCTCTCCAGCACAGCAGGGATGTGAGAGAAGTTGTTAAAGGACAGCCCTAGGCTGTTGAGCTGGGACAGGCCATCCAGATCTTCAGGTAGGGAGCTGAGATGGTTTCCATCCAAAGACAGTGTCTGCAGGCTTTAGGATAGGAGAGAAAACAGTCGTGTTTTACTTCAAAGCGTAGTTGAAATATCTGCGTGTGTTAAATAACAATTGTATAACTGAGCAGCATTCAACATTAAAGCAGGCAGGCAGGGTAAAAACTGCCGGATTTATCTTTCTTGACTTAATCCAATTGCATAACAAAATACTTTAACGTAATGCATTTCACTGAAAGCATTAAAACCTCAATCCAGATTTTATGAGAACATCGTGTGCACAAAACATTTGTGGTTTGCAAACCACAAATTTTGACAGATCATAAAACAGATGAACAACAGAACATATTACAGAGAATAAATAATGTTATGATGAATGATTTCTTATTTCTGATTGAATATTGAATATTGATGATACCCCACTCTGCTTCAGGGCAACACATTGTGTTTACTGTTTTGTTCATCTGTTTCCATAAAAATAAAATATCAACCTACAAACCACTTAAAATTTTGCAATGTTCCCTAAAATCTGTTTTTTGCTTTCACCAATGTTGTTATGGCTTACATATGATAGACAGAGTATAGACGGACACAATTAAGACAAAATATGTATATTTGCCAATCAATTAATTATCCTTACCTTTTGTGCCCAGTATGAGGCATGTTTGTGACTATATCAACTCTTTCATGCTTGTTTATACAAAGGTATTGTCTCCTTTTAAGGTGACCTAAATTGCAATTTGTGCAGCATTTCACTGTGTGGTTGTCTTTGGGATTTACTTCTTGTGTCATTACTTGTTGTACTTTTTCATATGCTTCTGCTGCAATTACATAATGCGGTTCAAATTGAATTTTGTGTGTACTGTTTGTACATGCATTTCCTATTGTATTAATGTACTGCAATGTATGTATGTACTGTAGTGTATGTGCATGTGTGTCACACCTTTGAAGGTTGCCTATCTCCACAGGGACTGTGTGGAGACTATTACAGGAGAGGTTGAGTTCAGTCAGGGTGAGGATCTCACACACACATTCAGGGAACACACCCAGACGGTTGTGAGACAAGTTCAGACTCTTCAGCTGAGAAAACCTGAAGAAAGAGAAAACAGCATGGAGGAGCTTGCTTGCCATATTCATTGTGACATCTGCCTAGTTCATTTTCACAAATATCTCGGGAACAGATGTGTTGTAACAGTGACTGAACACCTTATTTGTTGTTGCTTTCATATGAGTAACAGAAGGTGACTGTGATGTTTCGAAAGAGCGGTGGAAATACAGTTTGGCTTCAATGACACAGAGGAGCACGAGCATGCCAGCTGACCTGCTACGGAGGTCGACATTTTCAGAGCAATTTCTCCAGAGCTACAAGTTATGCCTCAGGCGAAGGCAGTCGGCAAGAAATATGATTGAAAAGACGATATATGTGGCACTGATTAACAAAGAGCCGAAGCTCGACATCCTGGATGAACGTGGTGGAAATTGGAAACTGTAGATTAATTCCCCTCAAGCTCACTTTGGGTTAGGGTTAGTTTTGTGCTGTTATTTGTTCTTCTGGCTTGCAAGATGTTATTAAGACAGCTTTAAAAGCAGCTGGAAAAATCAGTCAGTGTCTCGTTAGGCAAGATGGGGCATTGTTCACATTGTAAAAGGTATTCAAATCACCCCATTGGTGCGTTGTGTATGACCGTGTATGATGTTACCAGATTTAGATCGGCCAGTCATACAATGTCTCCTACATTTAATGAAGATAGTTTGAAATGCGTGTTTGTTCATTCATGAAATAGGCTGTCACATCCTATGATATCAGGTGGCTGTTTCAAATATAAATACATCCTAAGCATCGATTTAGATTCTGTGTGCGTGTGTTAACATTGCAACACATGTCAAAGAGACTGGGCTGTGATGAATGAGGTGGTGCGATGCCAGTTCTTCCATATTAACTCCACCTTCCTATTGTTCCCCAAGGTGCTGTGAGTGGTAGTGGTGGCTGGCTATCGTGAGTCACTGGTCAGGGTAGAGACTATTTCCTTTTATCCACGCATCCTTTTTCTAAAACAAACAAAAAGGCTGCGGCAGCACAAGGTGCACAAAGAGAAATGAAATGCACATCTTGTGCACCTGATTTAGATCACTGTCGTCACAAGTATTATCTCCTGTGCTCAAAGAAAATAAACGATGAAACGTAGTGAAATAACTGATGCCGGAGCACAGGGTCAACTACAGAATAGCACTAAAACAATGCAGCAGAGATTTTTCAATTGTGCAGAAATATACTCTGCACGGCAGACACATTCTGCTGCAAGGCTGTGATCCCGGCTAAAAATGGTCTCCTCCATCCCATGTTTGTATGAAACTATGCAGGTTAAGAATGTGTGATTACCTGGGGAGGTTGAGCAGGCCTCCAGGCCCCTGAAGGCTCATGAAGTTGTGTCTCAGGTTGAGGTGGGTGATATCCTGACAGTAAAAGAGATATTCAGGCACTACTTCCAGACTGTAGCACGACAGGTCCACCAGACTGACTGTCTGAGACACCACCTATACACACACACACACACACACACACACACACACACACACACACACACACACAC